ATAGCAATTTCTAATTTCCTGTATTTTCTCTCAACATGGCAGAAAAACAAACTTGATATTAAATGTACTCTCCCATGGTAAACACAAGTTGATAAAGCCCAAATGCTACTTGACGTTATTTCTGGCTTATCAAGAAGAAGTGTTAGCATTCATCATAGCTCTGGATGTCATCTGGTACTCACAGAGATCAATAATATGGTTCTTTCCAATCTTCTCATAAATACATCAAAGCCTAATGTAATAACTACCCAACATCTTTCAGACTCATGTTTCAGAAGATTTCTTTTCACATGTTGGTTTCACAGATTCTGCACAAATCTAAATCCCTCTACTGCAAAACTGAAATTGAATAATAATTCATAATGAAAAAATGCATCTCATCAATAGATAAGTCCTGTAGATATAAAGTTTCTTACAAATACCTTATAGCACGTCTTAAAAAAAAAACAATGGAAAAGCAACTATTTCTTCTAAAAAACCACACTGTCATCGACTCAANCCTTCCTTAAGAGAATGATGCTTATAGTACTCCACAAGTTCCTTTAGGAAAACAAGAATCATAGATTATTCTTGACAAGAATACTTTGGTTCTCAAACACATGAAATCCTTAATGAATAATTACATACAATATAAAGATGATCGATTTAATGATAAATTTTCCCCACGTATACAGAAGAGTAAGTAAATAGTAATCTCTCCCTGCCGTCTGGATGTACATGACACCTACCTAGTAGTTTTCCTTGTTATTCAGGCCATGTATAGTGTGAGTTACCCCCTATTGTTAATCATGGATACAGAACAACCTGTTAGTCTTCGGTCAGATGTGGTAATGAAAAGAAACCATACTAAACCTCAGTTCCAGAGTAGTAATTACTGTTCTTGCCTATGAAATACTTGCCTTTCTAAACAAAAATAAAAGGAACAGCTGCTTGCTGAATACATAGCAATTTCTAATTTCCTGTATTTTCTCTCAACATGGCAGAAAAACAAACTTGATATTA